ATGGATTGAGAGGATTACCGAGTTCAAGGACGACTTTATGCCTTCAAAAATGGCCTTGTTTCTTGCATTCCAAACTTCCCAAAGAATGAAAATGGGAAACAAATGATACAATGCCTTTTTAGCGGAAGTGAAGGACCCTTTGCGCCACCAACTCTTCAAGAGCCCCAACAAAGTGGCATGCCCCCGAACATCCATTTCCATAACAAGAGCAAAATGGTCCCAAATAGCTGAGATAAAATTACAACTACAAAAGCAATGATACAAATCATCACTTTGTTTGCTGCAAAGAAAACACATAGAGGGTCTTGTTAGAATTCCAAAAGCACTAATAATTTCAGGGAGAGAAAGCAAACCATTGCGCAATCTCCAAAGAAAGAAAGAGATGCGCGACGGAACAATATTGTGCCACAAATGCTTGAGCATCATATCTGCTTGCTGCCTACATCTAAGAGATTCATAAGCGGATTTAACCGTGAATCGCCCTTGAGGAGTGCTTTGCCAAACAAGAATATCATTGTCATCCAAAAAATCCACTTTAAACCCTTCCAAGAATGTAAAATTTATTTGATTGAGGAAGCCTTGCAATGCCGGCAAGCAGAGGCTTATCACGTGCATGGCCCCAAATAACTCCATAAGGTCGGCAATCGTCATACTAGAATGATCGATCTCCACTTCGTACAATAACCTTGGAGAAGGCAATAGCTCGCTCACCAACTTTCATAACCCTAGCCCAAGAGATCTTCTCTTTGGCCGCATGAGACAATGAATGAAGGAAGGAACTCCAAATACCTTTGTTATTCTTCAATTTCCACCATAATTTATATGTAAGGGTAGCTATGACATTATCAAAGCTTCTCAACCCAAGACCATTTTCATGAACCGGGAATGTAACCCTTTCCCAAGAGCGCCAATGTCGCTTCTTCACATCACTAGATCCTTCTCAAAGGAATTTTTGGCATCGAGCTTCCATTTCCCTAATAACCGACTTAGGTGGTGGGATAGCCAAAAACACATGAATTGGCATAGAGGTCAAGACATACCGATGAGCATAAGCCGCCCCCCCGGGCAACAACTTGTTCTTCCAATTCAAGAGCTTAGCATCTATAGCGTCCAAAAGAAATTGGAATGTAGTCGCCTTCTTCCTCCCATTAAAGATCCGGCATCCCAAATAAGTAAAAGGAGAAGTGCCATGTTGCATGCCCAGCGTGGTTTTTATCATTTCAATTCTTCTTGAACTACACTTCTCCAAAGCAACAAAACAGCTTTTTCCCCTGTTGATTTTTTGTCCAATAGCCTCTTCATATTGCTCAAAGAACAAGTTTAGCCTTCACAATGACCTTTGAAGCCCCTTTAAAAAAATGATCAAATCATCTGCAAAACACAAATGAGAAACAACTAATGAACCCGCAGGAGATCCATAAGCAGCAATCTTACCCTCCGTCACTAGAGCTTTCAATCTCCTTGTTAAAGCCTCAGAGACAATGATAAACAAGTAAGGTGACAATGGATCCCCTTGCTTGATTCCACGAGATGCTTGAAAGTAACCAGCCGGGCTACCATTTATCAAAATAGAAAAACAACTATTTTGAAGGTTATTTATGACCAATTTCACAAAGTGTGGCAGAAAACCAAACTTCAATAAAATAGACTCAAGGAAGCACCATTTTATCCTATCAAAAGCTTTCATCATATCAATTTTCAAAACGATATTACCTCCCTCCGCCTTGGGATTAATGAACTAACAAAGGTCATGAGCGAACAAAACATTTTCAATGATGTCTCTCCCATCCAAAAAAGCTGATTGCTCCTCAGAAATTAACTTTGGTAACACAACCTTCTAACGTTCAGTCAAGATTTTGGTAAAAACCTTGTTTAAGAAATTGCAAAGGCTAATAGGGCGAAAGTCCGAGAAAGGTACTTATAGTTTGCTTTTATGGCAGCAAAATAATCAAGGTACTAGAAATTGCTCGTGGAATAGGCACCCCAAGCATAAATTCCTTGCAAGCTAACTAGAGATCATCCGAGACAATGTTCCAACAGCTTCTATAGAAAGCTCCATTGAAACCATCTACACCCGGAGCACTCTCCTCATTCAAGTTGAAAACAGCCTCTTTAACTTCCTCAAGTGATATTGAGCTTAAGAGAAACTCATGATCCTCAGCCCCCAAGATAGCCGGAATATCTTGCAAAAAAAGTTCATGCGCAGCCTCACCCGAAGTATCATGATAAGCTTCTTCTTTCAAAAGCTCTTCAAAGAAACTAACAGCTTCTCTTTCTATTGCATCCATATCACTTAACATGGTTCCTTGCCTATCTTGAATCTTATGGATATTTTGCCTCGGCCGCTTCTCTCTCAACGAAACATGGAAATATGAAGTATTTGCATCACCCTCTTTTAGCCACTTAACACGAGCTTTTTGCCTCAGAAAATCTTCATTTTCTTTGAGTCGCAACAGCAACAAAGCTTTAGCATTATGCAAAGTCGATGTGTCCACCTCCAAGCCGGAGGAATCATAAAGACTTTCCAATTGTTGCACCTTAGCCTCCACTTCCTTCAAGTTAGCAAAAACATCTCCAAAACAAGTTTTATTCCATTCCTTGAGTTTTAACTTTAGCCGTCGCAATTTAAGAGAGAACGCTATCATTCCAAAAGCATCAATAGGTTGCTCCCAATTTTCCTTGACCACTGCAAGAAAATCCGATCTACGAAGCCACATTTGATGAAACCGAAAAACTCTTGGCTTGGAAACTCCTTGCACTCCAAATATATGCAACATAGGGCTATGATCGGATGTTGTTCTATTCAAATTCTCAATGGAATTAACTTGAAAGAGGTATTGCATTGCCATTCTCCCGAAAAAAGGATCCTATCCAATTTCTTGCTCACCCAACTTGTTCGCCTTGTTCCTCCCCATGTAAACTCCTTACCAACAGCCGAGATTTCCAATAAATCAGAGCCGGGATCTCATTGAATCAGTTTATGTTGAGGAATCCCCCAGCAAGGAGGTCAAAGACTTCTCTCGGCCTGTTGAAAATGTTGAGTCACGCATTCTAGCATTGATGTCTCTGCCTGAGATTCCACACGTCTTCTCCGATGATAATGGAATTGGAATGTGAGGCGATTGCTCTGATGATGACAAGAATGATAATGGTTGCTGGTCGGAAGGTGAGAAAGATGATGTCTTGGTGCATGGGGATATTCGGGGGGAGTTCTCGGTTACCAAGAAATGTGGTCGCAAGTCCAAGGAGGAGAGGGCCAGGTCTCAGGTTGGATTGGTATTGCGGCATTCTGCCCGTTTGAATTGAGTCCCCTTTGATCATTTTCCAATATTAAGTCAACTTATATGGAATATCCGGGGTATTAAAAGTCAGGCGTCCCAGCAACGGTTGAGATCTTTGCTTCGGATTTATAATGTTCGTTCCTGGTTATCTTGGAGCCCTTGCTTCAAGTTGGTAAATTAGATGAAATAAGGCGTGAACTTCATTTTTATGCTGCTTTCTATTCCAATAATAGTAAAATTTGGATACTATGTATGTTCGAATTTGATGTTAACTTGATGAATGATGAGGAACAAGTGTTGCACCTTGAAATAAAGCACCCTATGGTTTCCAGGTCCTATTTTCTGTCGGCTGTCTATGCAAAATCGACAAGGATGGGAAGATGTGGCCTTTGGCATAGTTTGGAAGCTTTTAGGAGCAGAAACTTGGGAGTTCCATGGATGGTATGTTGGGATTTCAATGTTATTAGAAGTTTGGAAGAATATAATAGAGTCTCCGTTTAAGATCATGCTGTTGTGGGATAATATCTTAACATTTTCTATATTTTAAAAATACATAAATAGCATAAATTAATACACACATTACCAATATTCATGACTCATATATAAATTCTTTTATCAATATAGATTGAAATTCACAACAAGTTTATGCCATCTACAAAATAACTCACTACAACAAAAATAGCAGTTTATACACTTTTTTGTGTCTCGATATATAAATAAGTGGTGTAATAAGCTTAAGACACGTGTGAATAAAATTGCGTGGGACAGTACTAAATAGTGTCTATTATAAATCGAGTCACAATAAGTCATGAGACATTTATAAGTGTATTATTAGATTGTCATTTAATAAAATATTTTAAAGTGGCCCATTAAGTAAACTAATAGTTCACAAACAATCTAAATAGTACACTTATGATAGGGTTTTCTAATAGGAACACACTTTTCATTTTTTAATAGAATACTTTATTAACAAATGTCCTAATGAGACATGTTGTAATGAAAATGTCCTAATGAGACACATTTAAGAAAAATGTCTCACCATAAAGGTATTAATAGTCCTTATATGTTATAGTGACTGGTACAACGCAGGACGAGTACTAATGATAATAATAATTTAAAAAGAACACATAATTCTTCCATTTAGTCTTGAAATCCTTCTTGGACTATGCCGTTTGAGTTTTGCTTTCTTCCAAATACAAATTGCGTCTTTTTCAACTTTATTTTCCCCTACTTCTATGTGCTCATAAATCCATTTACCTCTGCAGATCAATATTTCCTTTATTTGCTATAAACAAATAGTTAGTTATTTAATTTAGTCAATGCTACTTGAAAGTCAAAAATTTCCAGGTAGAGATGAAATTTCGAGGTTTATCCTTACTAGGTGGTTGTTGATTGATGATTTTCTAGGGACACATAGTAAAGAGTTGGTAATACAAGTTCATTTTCTTGCTCGTACAAGAAAATATAAGTATATACTATATACCAATAGATGATAGTGTGAAACAATATCTATCAACAATGAACAAATTCTTTCCAAGATGTACTATATTTTTGTGCAAATTTTCTCCCGATTTGATACCTCATTTATATAAATCAGGGCGCACGATAACTAGATCAAATTCTCTAGTTTGTGTGGCACATTAAGTACTTAAAATTATTATTTTCTCAAGTAAAAGAAGAAAAAGATACAACTTGTACTAATGTAATGTAACCATAAGATGAAAGCAACATTGTGGGCTTGACCTGAAATGATGATTCGTCTCAAACTAGATCTACTCTTCTTACTTAAAATGGTGTAATATCAGCATTCATGACAAATAATAGGTTGAGTTGCACTGTTAAACCAACTAAGTACTAACAACTCCCACCCACTCACTCCAAAATGATAAGATTATTCCCTTTTTTCTTTTTTACATCTCTTACCAAACATTGGTGTTATCTTCTTTACATTTCCTTTGCTAAATCATTCTCGCTTCTTCATAAAGACATGAACTTCATTCATGTATAACAATCAATCTTGAATGGTGGTGGTGTGTCTCCAAATTGGTTCTATAATTTTCATTTTCTAGTTTTCTACCTCCATTTATCTCTTACATCTTTTTGGTTCTGAATTTTTTTTTTTTCATTTGATGTGTATAAAGGCTTTGGGTTATTATTATTATTAATATTTGTTTGCATGTAACATCTGTGTTAGCCCTGAAAAGAATGAGAGACCATAGAGAAAGGCTTCTCATTCTTCCATATTCTATGGGTTGTGCTACTGAATCATGTATTTCTTTGGGCAAGAAGAATCATCCAAAGAGGAAAAAGCATAAGCCTAAACATGCTCTTTTTTCTTCACCAAGTATGTGAATCTCACTTCTCCCCTCACTTATTACATTTTTTGGAATTGGGTATTGTTTACCTTATAGATTTTTCTTTTTTTTTGTTTGCCCCGGAAAAACAGAAAAGGAAAGGCGCTCATTGGCAAAGATGATAAAAATAAGATCCTTTTTCGTTCTTCCAAACTATTACATCTCAACGGGAGTGAACAGAATGATAAAGGGCTTCAAAAGTTTTCCCCAATTGTTTGGTAAGTGCATCTGTTTACTTCCATAAACGGAAACATAATTTTTAGTACATAAGACAGGCTACTGTAACTACTATTAGAATTATGTGTATTCACCTATTTTAAGTGAAACATAATTTTATGAATGATAAAAGTTCTATGAGTTACTTCATTACCAATTGATCTGTGACACTGTTCTTTAATAGTGTTGTGTTTAGGCTATAATCTCATTTTTGCGCAAAAAGCTGTATTGACAATAATTGTCCCTTTGTTAAGTTGAAAGCTTATATTTCGAAAGTAAAATGTCTTGATAAAGAAATGGATCGATAACAATACAATAACAAATTATGATTGATAAGTAGAAGATAAGATACAAATGAGATAGTTGACCTATTATCAACGGAGTAGTTGACCTATTTCAATCTACCTGTTTCTAAGTTGCATATAAAGTCGAACTTTGCACATGCAACGAGTTACAAAAATAAAATTATGGTAGGTTTCAACTAATTCAACCATTCCATAATATATGTATTTTCATTCATATTTTTATGGATCCAACAAATCCATACAGAAGGATTATTTCAGTTTTATGGTTGTTACATTATTAAGGTTCGAACTAGCACTTGTTTGATGAGTTGAAAGAGGAGATACTCAAGTACACTAAAATAAAGGTGCAAAGGTGGCTTCATTTAGTAGTTTCCGTAACCTTGTATGTTCATTATTAATAAAATGATTTTAGGTGGCCGAAAAAGAACTAAAATTACGTTTCCATTTCCCCTTTTTAATCATTCTCCCAAGAATATTATTACAAAACAAGATATGTATGTATATATATATATATATCATATACACATTTAATTATAGCATATACAATTGTGGTGCCACTTTTGTTAGATGTTAATAACTTTATTATATATAACATAATTTTTTTTGTATTTCAATTACTTCCAAATTAGAAAGCAAAAAACCATTTTTGTAAGCGCTTTGTTATTCTTGGTTGAAGGTGTTTACAACTAATTAATCCTTTTGTTTTTCAATTCTTTATCAAGAACTCTGTCACACGTTCAATTAAAATGCATGTAATAATATTGTTAATGTAAGTTCCAAAACCTACATGTAAGATCTCAGGTCTTTTTACCATTTATTGTATCTTAGCATCTGTCTATTAAGTGGTAGAAGTTTGGATGGGGATAGTAAGGGAAGGGTGGATTGGGTAGAACCGTATGGTAGATTGTTTTATTATCATCAAGTGAGGAATTTAAATGGTAGCACAATCTCAAATAACATGCAGTAGAACTTCTTTTGAAACTACCAAAACTTATAAATTTAGAGAATTATTAAATAATCGATAGATTATTATTTAATAATTAACTTAAAGATTTCTCATAAGGGAAAAAAAATTTATGAGATTACTAATTTTCAATAGTTTATATTTTACTAGATACTTATAACTATTTCTAGGTTCTCTCTCGTGCGTTGCACGGAATATATTAACATTCATTATTAAAATAATTATTAGTTTTTGAAAAAATACCATACTCAATTAACGGTTAATTATGAACGGATTATACAAAGAATAAATGAACAATAAAAAAAATAAGGTTAAAAAAGACGATGTAAAAATTAATTGGTTATTATTAATTTCTTTGAGCTTAAATATAAAAAAAATATTTTACTTCAATTTTTCTCATAATTTTACGCTTGAAATTTTAACTTTTTTTCTTTAAAAAAAATGTTGGCATTAGAATGATCCAATTTGAATGGAAAAAATATATTTTGTTTGGATTTTTTCCTTAATTTTACCCGTGAAATTTCAACAATTTTTCAAACCATAGGCGTCGGTTTTTTTTTTTTTTAAATAAAATGTTGAATTAGAATACAATACATAATTAATATTTCTCTGACAATAGAATTATCTAATTTTTATATACATTTATAATATGAGTATGTTTTTATGTATACGGTGTTAAATTCTTTTTTAAGCAATACAACGTAGTTTTGACTTAAGGTGTTTTGGAGGAAAAACTTTTATTCAGAACGCGACACCTCAGCATTTTTCTTCCTTTGGAATTCTCTTTTAATAAGATATATATATTGATTAATTTTGTTGATGTCCTAGTGAATAATGTTTCAAAGTGAGGTATATATACTAACTCATAGTAGTTTTTGAGACGGAAGATTAGGGCTAAGATATGAGTGTAATATTCTTAAACTTGGAAGTATTTTATAGAATATGGTGAGTCACGCAGGAAGAATTATAATGTAGGGTAGTCTTTTTTTTTTTTTTGGTTACAATAGGGTAGTCCTTTTTAATTATTGATTATGAAATTTTAATGTAGCGTCTTTTTTTTGGTTGTGGAGTATCAATCAAGATCAGTGCACATTAATACCATAATTCTTAGTGTTTAATATATTTTATTTGGTCAAAGATGTCATTCAATAGCGCAATTCAAAATGATAGGCAGGAATGATTTTGTATTTTATCTTTCAAAATAGAATGATATCAATTAGGTACATTAATTGCGTGATAATATAATTTGATTCTGATTAATGAAGCTTTCTTTCTTCTTTTTTTTTTTCTTCATTTTTTATAAAACGAAGTAGTTTTTGGTGGGCGGGAAAAAAATGCATGAGAGTGCAATACGTTATCCTTTTTTTTTAAGCTTGGATTATTGTTTTAATAGGATATATAGATTATTATTATTTTAATTTAGAGTGACTATTAACTTTGTAGTACTGTCGGGGCCAATATATACAAACATATTTTCTACAATATTATTATATTATCATTTTATAAATTTTGCTCATTTTTGTATTGGTCCCAATTTGAGACATGAGCAAATTATTAATTACTTAAAGTTATTAATTTAGGTATGTTTTACTGTATGTTTCCCTCTATTTTTCTTTTTCCATTTCGCAAATCCATTACCTAAGAACAAAGAAAAAAAAAAAGAAGTAAAAAGAGCGGCTAATCTTCAAAGGTTAACCCTTTTTGTATTTAAATTCGATGAGATGGAGAAAAGTTGACTAATTATTGTAAAATAATTTACGTGAATTACATTAATCAGCTATGAGATCAACATTAAAAGGAAACATACCTAATCAAACTAAGTAACTAACCATGTTACCCAAATGAATAATGATGCAATTATAAAACAAATCAAGTTAGCAAACGCATAACATGCAGCATCAAATTAATTCGTATGTGTTCTTCTATTTCCAACTGTTAAAATCTTTGCGATTTGTAGGGAAAAAAAAAGAATTTTAAAAAAAACCAAACTAACCCTAAGTCTGTTACTTGATTAGTCTTGTATGGATTTTGTTTGTTCATAGGAATATATAATTTGAAAATGAAAGTTGTTAAAAAAAATTTATTTCACAGTTTACAAAGATGAAGATGAAGAAGAAAGCGACGAAGACCAAGAAGGAGAAATGGAAATCGGGCTTCCGACAGATGTGAAACATGTGGCGCATATAGGATGGGATGGTGCGTGCACCACAATCAACCCAATGAAAGGATGGGAAAATTTGGAAGCCGCTGACATCTTATCACTGTCTTCTTCAATCTCCTTAAGAGACTTTGAGATTGCCATGAACGCTCAAAATAGTAACGGTGAATCTGTATGTACTAATAAGATGGTACAAAAGATTGTCGACGGAAAAAACTAAACAGAGAAAACTTTGATTTCTTTTTTGTTTGTTATTTTTTGTTGGATAATAGAATTTTGATTCCGGCCACCAATTACGAATTTATATCGTATCCATAAGAGTTGAGGTTTAACTTATTTATTTGTCTCGTAACTTACTTTTCCATTTCAATATTGTCCAACTACATCAAGTTTTACAATATTTGCGACTAGTTTAATAATAATAATTGTTATAATTATCTGATAATGTAGATGTGCACAAGCTAGTAAAGTTGTATGAGAATTCTTTGTATAGAGATAATATTTATTAGATATTATTACCAGTTAGATGTTATCTCTATTTGCTCTTATCTCTGTATCTGCTATGCTTATAAAAGGAGAGTAGTCTCTGCAGAAATAATACACAGATCATTCTCTCTTTTTTCCTCTATATTGTTCTCTCTCCTTACTTGTTCTTTCTCTCAGTTTTATTATACCTTTATTTTTCACTTTATATTTATAACACATTATCAGCACGAGTCTCCACCTTTTACTAGTTTCGGTTGAGTAAGTGTTGTCAATTGCTTTTGTTTCTTTTATCAAGATATCTAACCTTGCAAAACTTGAATTTGTCCCTCTTCACATATCCAAGAAGAATTACTTGTCCTGGGTTCTTGATACTGAGATCCATATCAGTTCAAATGGCTTAGAAGAAGCAATCAAACCTGGAAACAATGCCACAAATCAGGGAAAAGTCAAAGCCATGATTTTTCTCCGCCACCACCTTCATGAAGATTTGAAAGCAGAGTATTTGACGGTAAAAGATCCATATACTTTATGGACGAGTTTGAATGAAAGTTATGACTATCAGAAAACTGTTATTCTTCCAAGAGCTCGTTATGAGAGGACGCATTTGCGTTTGAAAGAATTTTAATCTGTTAATGAATATAATTCAGCTATGTTTCGAATCACTTCCCTATTGAAATTGTGTGGTGAAAAGATCTTTGATGTGGAGATGCTAGAGAAAATATATACCATGTTTTACGCATCTACTGTGCTCCTGCGGCAGCAATATCGTGAAAAGGGATATAAAAAGTATTCAGAATTGATTTTTGTCCTTTTTGCTGAACAAAACAATGAGCTCTAGCTGAAAATTCATGAGGCCTGTCCAACAGGTGCTACTCCATTTCCTGAAGCAAATGTGATAGCAGAGCATCCTAATAATTGACAAGCTCGAGGTCATGGTCATAGCCAGGGCCGTGGTTGTAATGAAAGTCGTCATAATGCCCGTGGTGGCCATAACAAAAATACTACCCACCAGAAGTTTGGAGTCAATGATGATAAGAATGGAAAGAAAAAGAAAGATGGTGACAAATGCTTTCGATGTGGCATGACGAACCATTGATCGTGTATCTGTCGTACGCCAAAACATCTTACATATCTCTATCAGGAATCACTGAAGAAAGCAGAAAAGAAGATAGAGACAAATTCCATCCAGAATGAGTTGTTGATATTAATCATGATTTTGTTGACAATGGTTTTACTGAATTTACTAGTTTAGATATTGCTGATTTCTTTGTCAATCACCCTGAAGGTGAAGTCGATACTGAAAATTTCTTTCAGGGATAGGTTTCTTTCCCTTAGAGATAGGTTTTATATTTTGAATTTGATGTAATGAATTTTATTTTCATTTGATGAATTTCAATAAAACATTTCTTATTTATGTTTATTTTATTGTCAATTACTTTACTTTTGTATTAAATAAAAGAAAAATATTATTATTTAGAATCTTTTACTTTTGAAGATAATGGATGTCACAATCAGCAATGACAAAAACATATGTCTAGCAGACAGTGCAACAACACATTCAGTACTAAAAAAGAGAAAATACTTTTCTCATATAGTGTTGAAAAAATCTCATGTTAGTACAATATTCGGGAGTACAGAATTACATGAAGGCTCCGGAAGAACAAATATAATAATACCTGGAGGCACTAAAGTTTGAATTAATGATGCATTACATTCCCCAAAGTCTCAACGAAATTTGTTAAGTTTTAAAGATATTCGCCGAAATGGATATCACATAGAGACTTGTTGTGAACGTAACATTGAGTACTTGTACATTACGAGTAATATTGTTGGGAATAAAAATATCTTAGAAAAATTACCTTCATATTCCTCTGGATTATATTACACATATATTACTACAATTGAAAGTTATGCAACGGCAAATCAGAAGTTTACTAATCATGATGATTTTGTCGTTTGACATGGCCGGTTAGGCCATCCCAGTTCTATTATGATGCGAAGGATTTTAGAGAATTCTTATGGTTATTCTTTAAAGAGCCAAAAGATTCTTCAAGCCAAGGAATTCTCTTGTACTGCTTGTTCTCAAGGCAAGTTAATTAGAAGGCCATCACCAATGAAAATTCGCACCGAGTCTCCTCAATTTTTGGAACGTATACATGGTGATATTTGTGGGCCAATTCACCCATCTTGTGGGTTATTTGGCTATTTTGTGGTCTTAATTGATGCATCAACTAGATGGTCACATGTATCTTTATTATCAACTCGCAACCTGGCGTTTGCAAAATTACTTGGTGAGTTGATTCGGTTACGAGCACCTTTCCCAAATAATCCTATTAAGACAATATGTTTGGATAATGCTGGTGAATTTACATCCCAGTTCTTTAATAATTATTGTTTGTCAATTGGGATTAAAGTTGAACATCCTGTAGCTCATGTTCATACACAAAACGGTCTAGCAGAATCGTTTATGAAACGCATCCAGTTGATAGCGAGGCCTTTACTTATGAGAACTAAACTCCCAATATCTGCTTGAGGGCATGCTGTGCTACATGCCGCAACACTAATTCGTATCAGGCCAACAAATTATCATGAATACTCTCCCCAACAATTGGTTTTTGGTCAAGAACCAAACATTTCCCATCTTAAAATTTTTGGTTCTGCGGTATATGTTCCTATTGCTCCACCACAACGCACAAAGATGGGACCTCAACGGAGGTTGGGAATATATGTTGGATATGAATCTCCATCAATCATAAAATTTCTAGAGCCAAAAACTGGAGATTTATTTACGGCTCGTTTTGCTGATTGTCATTTTGATGAGTCAGTTTTTCTAACATTAGGAGGAGAAAGTAAACAATTGATTAAAAATATTAGTTAGAATGAATTGTCATTATCTTATCTTGATCCTCGTACAAGGCAATAGGAACTAGAAGTTCAAAAGATAAGTCATTTGCAACGATTAGTAAATCAATTGCCAGATACTTTTACTGACTTGAAACGTGTGATTAAATCACATATACCAGCTGTTAATGCTCCTGTCCAAATTGATGTCCCTGAAGGACCTTCTATCACAAATCATGAATTACGGGCACAACAAAAACGTGGTAGACCAATCGGTTCTAAAGATAAAAATCATCGTAAACGAAAAGGAGCAAACACTCAAGATGGAGAATTCGAGGTTGTTAAGCTTCCTGAAGAAACTTTCGCAATAAAAGATCCCCACATAACAGAAAATCAACTTCCTGAAGAAGTTCAGGTACTTCAAAGTTTTGAGATCTCAATTAATTATGTTATGACAGGACAAAAGTGGAACCGATGTACAACAAAAGTTGACAATAAATTTTCCTATGCTGCAGCAGTTAACATTATAAATCAAAATAAGGATCAAGAACTAAGGTCTGTAGATGAGTGCAGACGAAGAAATGATTGGCCAAAATGGAAAGATGCTATTCAATCAAAATTAAATTCATTGGCAAAACATAAAGTCTTTGGACCAATAACGCGCACACCTGAAGATGTGCAACCGGTAGAATTCAAATGGGTATTTGTGCGAAAAAGAAATGAGAAAAATGAAATCGAGCGTTATAAAGCACGTCTCATGGCACAAGGTTTTTCCCAGCGACTGGGTACTCATTATGAGGAAACATATTCTCCGGTGGTGGATGCAACAACGTTTCGCTATTTGTTAAGTCTAGGAACAAGTGAAAGATTAGAAATGCGTCTCATGAATGTTGTGACTGCCTATCTATATGGGTCACTTGATAACGAAATTTACATGAAAATCCTTGAAGGTTTTCAGATCCCTGAAGGATTTGGTTCTCGAGAGCTTTATTCAATTAAATTGTGTAAATCATTGTTTGGCTTAAAACAAGTCGGGCGAATGTGGTATAACCGCCGTGGTGAATATCTGATAAAGTAATATTATTTAAACGATCCAATATGCCCAAGTGTTTTTATCAAAAAAAAGTTGATCTGAGTTTGTAATCATTGCAGTTTATGTTAATGATTTAAATATGATTGGGACTCCTAAAGAGCTCACTAAAGCTGCAAATTACTTGAAGAAAGAATTTGAAATGAAAGACCTTGGAAAGACAAAGTTTTGTCTATGTTTACAAATTGAGCACACCGGAAGTGGTATCTTTTTACATCAGTCTGCTTATACTGCTAAAGTTCTTAAATGTTTTTACATGGAGAAAGCACATCCTTTGAGCACATCTATGATTGTAATGACACTTGATAAGGATAAAGACCCTTTTAGGCCTTGTGAGGATGCTAAAGAGTTACTAGGTCAAGAGGTACCTTATCTTAGTGCTATTGGGTATTAATGTATCTTGCTAGTCATACACGGCCTGACATATCTTTTGCTGTGAATTTATTAGCTAGATATAGTTCCTCATCTATAAGAAGGCATTCGAATGGTGTTAAACATATATTTCGCTACCTTTAAGGTACGATAGATATGAGTCTTTATTATTCAAGAACATCTAAGCCTGATTTAGTAGGTTATGCAGATTCTGGGTATTTATCCGATCCTCATAATGGTCGATCCCAAACTGGTTATATTTTTACATGTAGGATTATAGCTATTTCATGTCGGTCTATGAAATAGACTTTAGCTGCAATTTCGACTAATCATTCTGAACTTATGGCAATTCATGAAGCAAGTCGAGAGTGTGTTTGGTTGAGATCTATTGTTTCTCATATTCAAGGATCGTGTGGATTACATTTGAAGAAAAAAGTCCCTACTACTTTGTTTGAAGATAATACTGCCTACATTGACCAATTGACGGAAGTATACATCAAAGGTAATAGAACGAAACATATTTCACCTAAATTTTTCTTTACCCATGATCATCAGAAGAATGGTGAAATCAATGTTCAACATATTCGTTCAAGTGACAATTTAGCTGACTTATTCATGAAGTCATTACCAACATCGACTTTTGAAAAGTTAATTCACAAGATTAGAATGCGGCAGTTGAAAGACGTCAAGTGATGTGCTCAACAAGGGGAGTTTCTCCTCACGCTGTACTCTTTTTCCCTTGATCGAGGTTTTGTCCCAGTGGGTTTTCCTGACAAGGTTTTTAACGAGGCAGCGTCATATTTGGAAATGTACTATTTTTCCTTTATTAGATTTTTATCCCATTGGATTTTTTCTAGTAAAGGTTTTAACGATGCATTATTCCAGAAAATAAACATCCAAGGGGGAGTGTAATAATTATCTGATATTGTTGATGTCCACAAGCTAGTAAAGTTGTATGGAATTCTTTGTATAGAGATAATATTTATTAGATAGTATCACCAGTTAAATGTTATCTCTATTTGCTCTTATCTCTGTATCTGTTATGCCTATCAAACGAGAGTAATCTCTGTAGAAATAATACATAGATTATTCTCTCTTTCTCCCTTTCTATTGTTCTCCCTTCCTACTTGTTCTTTCTCTCACATTTATAATTTTATTCTTCACTTTTTACTTATAACAGTAATAGTTATTTTCTTACTATTTTTTTTCTATTAGGTTTGTGAAAAAAATGTTACGCTAAATATTTTAAAATCTAGGTTAGATATATAACACATAATCAGGAATATTAGATAAACATTGTTCCACTTGACTAGCTGGTTAGAAAAGTAGCAGAAATGCAGGATGCCATCCAAAAGAATCCGATCCATGTTGCAAAACATATATATGAAAGATGCCTGCATTCAGGTTTCAAGAAATTGGGATTTGGGAAGAGTAGTCACTGAAATATTAATGCTGTCCCCATGCATAGTGTGATGAAGAGTAGCTAGTGTATTCTGTGTTGTTTTCTTTTCACCAGAAGGAATGCCTATCAACTTGTTTATTAAGAAAATCAAAGATCCACCATTAAAATGAGCAGCAGATTGCGTACCAAGAACAAGCACAGCTCACTGTAATTCATTAGAGAAGCTCTAGGAAGCAAATTCCCTTCCTATGTCATAAATTCAAAGAACAGCAGCAGAAAATTCTCTACTATCGTGAATCTTATTCATTTTGTGTTTCAAGAATATACTTGTCAATGAAATTCAAATTGTTAAGGGGCAAAACCGTGGCCAACACCAACAAAACTAATGAATTACAATGAAGTTCTGGTACAAAATTATGTATGTGCAGCCAATGCCAATAAAAATGACACCAAGGTGGTGATTCTATCTAAGAACTCCCTAATGCTAATAAATAATTAGTTACATGCAAATTAGGAAAAATATTACCAAAACAAGTCCCATGGTCGATATCTAACTCCATCGCTTGAAAAATATCCAACATTCTGTGTCTGATTGAACTTTTACATTAGTATCAAGCTATAATCGAAATATTTGTAAAATCAAGTTACTACATAACTTTTCGTTGCATCCAATGTCCAAGATAGAACTAATCAGCATTCAGCACCAAAGCAGCCACTTTCTTCAATGATTCTGCTGCTTTCACCAAGTCTGACTCTGAATGACCAGCAGAGACGAACAATCTTATGCCCACAGGCAGGTTGCACTTATCAAGTGTTGATCTTTTAGAAGTTACAACAAAAACAGATTCCTCTTTCAGCACCTGGAGACATACAGTTCTTCAAACTTCATCAGAATGAAAAGATATAGTGTTTTTGTGTTTCCAAGATTGTGTAGGTTCGAAATACAAGAAGTAGAGGCAGCGAAGCCATAAGAGTACGTGATATGGAGAATGAGGCTGTAAACAAGAACTTACACGATCAGCAATAACCTCAAGCAGCTGAAGGTCACCTTTTGAGGAACCTGTTGATTTATTTATTCGGAGAAAAACAACGGGAGATTCTGGATCACTCACTATTTGAAGACCCCGAATACCAGATAACCCTGAAAGTGTTACATAGTTTTCCTTAAGTACAATAAGATTTAAGCCTAATAAAAGAAAATTCACAAGTTTTGCCAAGACCTGTCCATAGGAGAGCAATATTTTCCTTGAGCTTCCTGATAAGATTAGGATTTTCTTCTATGACATCAAATGCGGTAATAGCAGCACTTGCTAGGTATGGGGGTAACGAAGCGGAAAAAACATAACCAGAACTACTAAGCCTCTGCCAAATGGAAAACATGTGAGGATTAACAAAAAGGATCTACACATACCAAGAAAAACAGTCGTTTCAGTAAACAACATTGGGGATTTGTAGCTTAGGAAAGGGATACTGTACAACAGCATAAACAAAAAGTTCCCATACTTGGTGATCGATGACTCTTGCACTACCAGTGCAGAATCCTCCCTCAGTGGCCAATGCATGTCCCATAGCAGCCGTAATGATGTCTATTTTCTCAACCTTGAGATCAACACAACAATAAATCACATATTGCAGACTCAATACCTCATCCAAAAAAAAAAAGAAAAGAAAGAAAAACCTCAACACTTACTGGCACTTGGCAGCGTTCAGTTAATCCTCTACCGGAAACGCCAAGAACACCCAAGGAATTGCTCTCATCCAGTAACACACGAAAACGATACTTCTCCTTCAGTCTAATGATTTCATCTAGAGGCGCAATTTGTCCAGAATTCTGTATTTAGAAAGAAAAACCATTAGAGGAATAACAACATGACATAATAAAAAGAGAGGAGCACAAATGCACGGGCAATAACATGGAGAAAAGAGAGAGAAACGACCAATTGTTTCAACAATTAGCCTAGAAGTTCTATTATTTTGACAAAATACATTTACACTTCTTGCTTAAAATTTAATTTTGCTGAGAAGAGTAGAACCATCACCAGCAAAAACAGAAAAGAAATACAGCTGAATATTTCCGCTGGTCAACTACATTTATGTATAGGAAATCTGTACAGTATTTAATTTAATAAGTAAATCAAAGCATGTCGAATATTCTCCTTATTTTACTGGGTGTTCGTACAATAAAGACTTCACATCACTTCGAACCAACTTTTGTCAGCACAGGGCTAGAAAACTGAACTTTAAAATTCGCTTTTGATCTTTTCACGAAGAACCTAGTTTTGCATTGCGTTTACTCGTTTGGAATCTGGAGTGCTATATACAATCCAAATCAACACAAGTATCAGCATCACTTTTGCTATTTGGTGCATCCATAGTCTATATACCAGGATCCACAACTAATCATTCTTTGACATTAGAGGATAGGTCACCTATGCTTCACAGAACAAAACAAATATAGAAACTTTTCCACGGGCAAACAAACTCATGGGAACTTCAGAACTCATGGGAGAACAACACAGTTATGACTAATGCCAAAGTATAGATAATTTGTAAGCACATCCAGTATGTAATGCCTATGAATTTCTTCGTGGCACTATATACACATCATTACAAGAGACCCACTCCACAGGAATTTGACAATCCCTGGGAATAGGAATGGAACTTAAGTCCATTTATTGTATCCTGTATGGAACTGCACTCTGACCATTACAAGATTAGACATCATTGCTAAATGTCCCATGCAATGCCTAATATTAATCAGGTTTTTCCATCGGTGCATAGCTTAATTAGTCTAGTTCAGCATACAAAATTGAATGAACCAATGGCAAGTTCGGAAAGAAGTTAAGAGTACAAAATTCGGAGGATTTCGCCGCCCCCTTGCATCTCTTTCTTCCTTTAATCTTCTTGGATGAGGATATTCTAATTAATCAATCTAGCAGAAATTACATTTTAGCTATGTTATTCATCTATTTCTGATTAACCACTATGGTACTGTACACCACCACACCAGAGATAAACAACACCCATCCCTGAGTTCTTGCTTCTCGAGCTTGTCTCTTTTCTCTCAGTTAATAGTGTGAATGCTGAAAACAAACCACTAGAAATATTCTTCAAAGCACGACTAACTTGAAGCATCATATATAGCCATATAGAAAAAGGAGGCAAAAAGCTTATGTTTAACAGATAAAAGCGAGAACAACCATTTCCTGAGATATTATATTGCTGAAAAATGATTGGTAAATAGAGAATTAATTAGCTCTAATGCATCTATAGGGGGATACCTGATATATGGCTTCAACCACGATATAACGCCTGACCTTCTCTGCTCGTTTATTCTCTTGGGTAACCTTCTCTAGTGTATTCCTTAAAGAGTCCATGTCATTATGCTTGAAATATACAATTGTACTTCTCGAAAGCTGAAGACCGTTTTGGATTCCCCAGTGCACGCCCTCATCCCTACCAGAGAAACATTTGTGCGACCATGAATATTACCAACAAGTAGAGGCCATAAGCTCAATCGCAGGCATATGAAAGCCAAAATTGATGTCCAGCATTATGAATGAACAAATTTGACAAACTGAAGCATGTTGCCAACATATTTTAACAGCTCATGATAGAGTTAGAAAGGAGAAGAAATCGATACATTAAACCAAATCAACAATTATAGACAGTTTGGGACGTGTTTTCTTCTCTTAATACTCTGCACTCATCCTTCCTCAGTAAGAACTTCTCAACTTGCATAGGTATTTACAATTAGAAATGCTAAGTATCACTTCAAAGATACGGTAAAAATGAATAATTGATATGGAACTATTATAGCTAGAGTCATGCTAGTGAATGTGACAATTACATGAGAAAGATACAAAATACTCACGCAACAATAACATCTCCCTTCTTGCAAAAAGCTGGAATAGCACTGAACATGGTGGAAAGCCCATATGAGTAAAGTATGGAATCCGGAGTGCCTAAAAACTTCGCAATCCTGGCTTCACAATCAAGGTGGACATCTGTGACAAACAGAGAAATAAGCCACCTATAATGACAGAATAGAGGATTAAACTACAAAGGGGATCTTATGATTGAAGTATATACACAGAAATCAAACTACCAATTGTCCCATAAAATCCACGAGGGCCACATGAACCAACACCATATTTCTCCAAAGATTTTGTACAGGATTCCTGTTATGCATCTTAGTAGTGAATATTGTGAATTTGTTAACCTCAAAGCAGCAACCAAAGTAACGAGAAGAAGCAATGCAGCTTCTACTTACAAGTAACTTTTCATGTCCCAGTAATCCGAGATAGTTTGCCGAAGAAAAATTTAAAACTTTTGTTCCATTTATTATTGCATGTGGTCCTGCAGCACTGCAAGACACTTAAAATGAGAATGCATTCTAAATACTAATAAGTAATAATGAAACATAAAGAGGCCAGGAAAGCATTTCCTGAAACACTTATCATCTGATCACAAGAGTGCACTGTGGCAAAGAAATGAAAAACAAATTATGTTCACTTCTTCCTTTTCTTAGTCAGTTTTGAAGTTATTTTTCCCACATTTCCCATATTAGGTTCTCCTTTTTCTTAATGATTCCTAGAATGAATGATAGATAAGTTCAACAAACATGTATCAAACTACAAAATAGACTTACATCTAGAACAAAATGTCATCTTTACCTCTCTAACACCGGAGGTTCCTGTTTCATTTCTTCTTTGATTCCGGGTATTAGGGGTTCAGGAACCCATTCATCACATAGCTCGTCAATCTCCTGAATAGCGTGAAGCAAAATATTATGGCAGGTTTAATGAAATGAATGACAACTTCGAACATAAAAGATTCAACATTTGCATCTTAACAATTTTTAGTTAGTTAAACCTATTCCCAGAATCTCTACATTCTATGATAAGTTCGTATGACCCCAAGTTTCGTACATTAGACTCAAATGGACATAATCCCCTCATAATCTTGGGATTTTCAGTTTCTAAGTCCAACTCCCTTATAATTGAATTTCTTTTCTTTCTAAGTAAATAAGAGTACATGCCAACGCCTGAGATGGTAGCTGTCTTTTTAGTATATGGAGAAAATAGACGAGAGCTGATCATCGATCCAAAAATCTATGAACGAAAGTGAAGTCAAATATGCCAAGGGCCATGGTTATAGAAGTTTAATAGATTGCAGGAAAACTATCCAAAACAACCTCAGTGTTGAGGTGGGAACAGAGACACACAGAGGGATTGAACATGTAACATCAGAATGTCAAATCGGGGCATAGAATGCTTACCACCTTTACAAAAGAACCAAAATTCAAACTTAGTAGTCATTCGCATTTGAAAGGCACTACTATGTTTTTTATGCAAGCAATTGAAAGTCATATCCATTTGTGTCTTTCATTTCTTTTCATTTTCCCTTTTCCACCTTTACAAAAGAACCAAAATTCAAACTTAGTAGTCATTCACATTTGAAAGGCACTACTATGTTTTTTATGCAAGCAATTGAAAGTCATATCCATTTGTGTCTTTCATTTCTTTTCATTTTCCCTTTTCCTTTGGTGTCTTGTTTTCTTCCTCCTTTTCACATCCTATACATTTTACCACACCAGATTAGGATCATCAGAGAGTTGTTTGTTTCGAAGAAATGCTTGTGATAGCATAAAATTTTACTAACATTTGAGAAGCAGAATTTTGATAGATGGATTCCTTTCGTTTCTAAACAAAGAAATTGGTGCTCTTACAACTATTTCTTAAAGAAAAATGAATGAAATTGAAAGCAGCTATGCCTAATCTACATCCTCTAATGGCTTTGGTCAAACAATAATGTTGCACTATATGCAATGAGATCTAAAGCAATTCCACAATTAATACCTTTGGCATATCTCCAATTATTACTGCAATCCAACACAATCATCTAAAGAAAGGTAATTAGCAATTACGAAGGGTAGCGCAGAAAGAGAACAAACGATTTCTAAATTTTGATTTTCAACCTCGCCCAAGATGTTGCACATACAAGACCAACCAAAAACCCGCATAAAAATGAAGAGAAAGTACTCTTTCCTTTGAAAAATTTGCAAGACAAACCTTCTTCGTCAGCGGTCTCTTAGGTGGTTTATAACTTTTTTGCGAAAGAAGGAAAATTATCACAACAAAGAGAATGCCCTCCACAAACAGATGTCCTGCATATCAATAGAGAATATTAGGGACTCTTTAAGATGATGAATATGCATCCAAACAAGATAATATTAGTTTCATTACACACCTCCGATGTTCACTCCAAAGACAACAGCTTTGGCAGAAGGAGCATCAATAGCAAGAGTCAACCACTCCGAAGCAGCTCTTAACATATCCATAGCTACTGAAGTCATGGCATTAATCCACCACGTTTGGCATAAATGAAAGGTCACAGTAACCAAAAAGGACGAGAAATAGATTCTCTGACCCGACCTTAACTAACTGCAACACCATGAAGAGGAAATCGGTAGAATAAGTATCAACCTAATGCCAGAAGGAGAAAGATAACGACAGATGCAATCACATTTCACGGGTAATTTTTAGACTAAAGGTATTGACATAGACATTTCCATATACAAATAACCATGTTTCAGCTCCTTAATGTCGTAACAAACACTAAAAAGGAAATTTCGCTAAATCAACAGAGAAATAACCCAACAATGAACAATTTAGTCAATTACTTACTCAAATAGCGCCAAGAAATTGAGAAGGGCGAATATATATAATTGAAATTGAGAAGGGCAAATATATATATATATATATATATATATATATATATATTGAAGAATAAGAAGATCAATAGAATCAGATCCCATCAACCGCATAGCCGATTCAATTAGAAAACATCCCCCAAACAGAATAAAATCCTAAACAACAGAGACACAAAAGGGAACCTACCTAAAAAATTAAATGATTTCAGAGCAAAATTTGCAAACGGAAGGAACCAAAAGTTCAGCTGCGGATCGACAAAAATAAAAGGAACAGGCCGGCGGCTGAACAAGAGAGAAAATGGTGGGAGAAGGATACCTGGAAGCTGCAGCAGCCAGCTGAATTGCAATAGGAAGATGCAGTAATCCGTTTTCATGCAGACTTTTCTTGATGTAGTTTGGCCTGAAGGATGGTGAATGGTGGTGGTCGGGCTTTTCTACCTTTCATACTTCTTAGTCAGAATCTTTCTTTCATTTTTTTAAACGCTCAAATCTTATGTACATAAATCATAATTAATCATACTCCCTTGGATCCCCAGAAAATAGTCCAATTTGGAAAACTCTCTTTCTATTAAATCCATAATTGTAATAAAATATTTGATTTGATTGAATTTTTACAATTAATTCTCATTATTTTATTTTATGTGATTTTCAAAATATGATATATAATATTCTTAGAATATACTCCCTCCGCCCCATAATTATTATCCACTTTGCCCAAAAAATTTTGTCCCAAAATTATTGTCCAATTTGACTTTTTATGGATCAAGTTAAACATTTGTCCTTAGTAAAAAACATTATCCATAAAATCTTAGTGGTTAAACAATTACTTATGTAGGGATATATCCGGTTGTTTAAGGTAAAATATAATTAAATTTAACTAAAAATAAAATCTTTCATTTTAGTAAAACTGGACAATAATTATGGGACGGAAAGAGTATAAGCATCTTGGTTAAAATATCATATGTAATAGTCACTCATCGACGACTTATATAAATGGATTAATCAAACACTGTCCAAAAGTAGGATGACTGAAGACAACTCTCCTTCTCGTGTTTACGCTGCTCTTATACTTTTGTATTTTATTTTGTACACAATGATAGTGGTATTTCATAGTACATTATAAATACGAGTCTCTACTCAATCATAAATTTGTACATGAATAAAAGGTACTCCTTCCGTCCCATAATTATTGTCCACTTTGCCCAAAAAATTTTGTCCCAAAATTATTGTCCAATTTGACTTTTTATAGATCAAGTTACACATTTGTCCTTAGTAAAAAACATTATTCATAAAATCTTAGTGGTTAAACAACTGCTTATGTAGGGGTATATCCGGTTGTTTAAGGTAAAATATAATTAAATTTGACCAAAAATAAAATCTTTCATTTTAGTAAAACTGGACAATAATTATGGGACGGAGGGAGTATCTTGTTACTAATTTTATGTTTTTTTTACTATTACTAATCTCACTCATATAAAGGTCCACAATACAATTATTAAGCTATGAATACGGATTTTGTTATTGATCATGTGGATTTAGAAACTTATGTAAGTTATATGTAATTAATCTAATTGCAAGTAATCAAATATGTCGGCATGTGTGAATTGTGTTATCATCTACGCAGGGAGAAAAAAAAAGAAAAGAAGCTTTCCTTACGAATTGATAATTCAATTTAAATACTGAGTAATTTTTTGATTTTTAGATTACAAGGAAAGTTACTTTATTTTATTATTATATCTTTATTAATATTTGTAAAGATAAAAGTTAAGCTATATTGACGATAGCAATACAGATAAATGTATCAAGCTATATTGACGATAGCAATACAGATAAATGTATCAAAGTTGCTCTCGGAGCAACAATATACAATAGGAAAATTATAAGGATAGTTAAAATACAAAGAAAAAAAATACATTGAATGAGGTAGATAACTTTTTTAGTTTAAATAGTATTATGACCTCTCTCCCTTTCTGTAGCCACTTTCCCATGGAAAATTTTTTTTCCCCCAAAAGTTAAATTTTTATTCTTTATTATAATGTCCACATTAGTCACTGTGAGATGTAACGATACTTTTTCACTGGCTCTATTACTACTTGTTACAATAATATACTATGTATCTATAAATATATCAAATTAATCCAGTAATAGCTTCGTTGTGAAATATTTAACAAAATCTTATACATTAATTTCTTTCCATTTCCGGAGTGGGAAACAAATTTAGTTTTGGACAAAATCGTTGACATTTAATCTACAACAACAAGCTATATTCATTGTACTTAATTAAAGCAACATACAATAAGGACACGTGTCAGTTTCACATTAAAAATTTTCCCGCCAAAGCTACTTTTCAGTACAAAATGAAAAATGCCACGTGGCTCATCAGATGAGCAGAAAAATGATGTTTGACGAAATTTTTTCAGGGATTTATTTAAGAAAATAAAAGAAAAAAAAACTACCAAAGTTATATCCCTAAAATTTTGTCCGTCCGAATCAATCTCATAATTACAGTATATGTATATTAATAAATGTAAGTAAGGTTGATAATAAACAGTAAATAAAAGGATGATTAGTAACAATTCTGTTTATTACAATACAAAAACGCAACTGTAAAATTTGCAGAGTTGCTATAACCCAATTATATCATGCATCCAGATATGTGTCATTATCAAATTTTACTGCATCGTCATCTGTTTGATTCCCTAAAATCTGCCTTAATCGTCTCTTTTCCATATATTGTTGCTGCAAATATACGGTAAAGATCAGATAATCTTCCCAAATAACAGTTTTGAATTTTATAAATTACATATTTAAATTAAATTAAATAACAATTTATAACAAGTCCATATCCTTACCATCAGTGATTGATTGATTGATTGATCCATGTTTATCTCCTTAAAAATCAAAATCTTACATTTAGAAACAGTTTTTCAGTTAACATCAGAATTTCAGAGATATGCTTACCTTCAGAATTTCATGGAATTGAATATCACATGCTCTGTATATATAACTTGATAGAGATATGTCATACTCACCAAAACCTGTGACCATTTATTCTAAAGCTCCATTGTTGTTTCTGTTTCCTGTTCAAATTTCCATTCTCCCTCTGTGGCTGCAACTCCCATGTCTTCATCAGAAACCCTCACTGTTTCTGCAACTCCCATGGCTTCATCAGAAACCCCCACTATTTTTGCAACGCCCATGTCTTCATCAGAAATTCCTGATGTTGATTCTCATAATCAAAACTATCCTGAAAATCCAATTTCTGGATCTGCAACCCACAATGTTGCTAATGCAGTGGAAACAGATACACCTGTTCTTGATTCTGAAAAACAACACCATGCTGAAAAACCACTTGCTGGAAATCAAACACCCCCTAATGTTGATCAGACATTTCCAACAGGTTCTGCACAACGGTACATTGCTGACATCAATGGCTTGGTACCAACCAAAACTATCCATTTCCACATAATTGTTCGTGTTATGACCATCTGGAAAATGATAGAGAATAAAAACAAGAATGTCAAATCTGTTGAGTTGGCATTGATTGATGCTGAGGTATGATATTATTTAATACAGTATTCAACATCAAACAATGTTTTACTCATTAAGAAGATGCAATTCTTATATGCTTATTTGTCCAAACTTTTTGAAATATAGGGATCCAAGATTCAGGCTACTATACCTGCGAGGATAATGAAAGATTTCCAGAAGTATTTCCTTCAAGAGGGTTGTGCCAGGAAGATCTCACGTTTTGATCATTGCCTGAATATAAGTGGGGGATACCGTTGCTCAAAACACGAATACAAAATTGTATTCCGACCTGATACATTGGTTCAATCTGTTGGTTACCATGACATCCCTAATCATGTATTTGAATTTACCCCTTTTGCAGAAATTACCAATTTTGTTGCAAATTTTGACTTCTGTTTTGGTAAGGACAACATCTTTCAGCTTTGAGTATAATATTTTTCTTATGTATCTTTTAAGCAAACATGAAAGTATGATTAATATGCATACATATATTTCAGATTTGTTGGGACACATAATTGGTTACAGTGATCCAATTATTGATAATGGTAAGAAGAGGATTTCGGTCGAATTGGAAGATGAAAGGTAAGTGATTTTACCAATGTATATAATTTGAATACGTCTTTTGTATAAATATTCTTATTCAATTCAGTATGCATAAGTGATTTTAACTATATTTACATAAATTGTAGGGCCAATAGGTTAAAGGTCACATTATGGGATGAGCACGCAGACAAGGTTTATACCATGATGACTAATAATCCTGATTACCTTGTTGTCCTTATTGTTCAGTATGTCAAAAGCAAAAAATACTACTGTAAGTATATTTGTTTTTAAAGCATATATCTTTGTTTGTTGACAAGAAATTTCAGCAGTTTAGTGACACACCTATAGTCTAATCTGATCCAGCTAAAGTTTCAATCACAATGAATCTGTTCAATGGTAGGATTTTCCTAAATGACATGACCATTCCAGATATATACGAATACAAATTCAGGTAAAAGAAAATTATTGTCACAGTTTATACAAATACTTAAATGAAACCATCCATGCAGTGGCAAATAATGAACTCACCTTCACAGGGTTGATCAGGCAGATATTAGAT